GAATTTCAGTATTTCTTACTTTATATTTTGTTAATTTGAATTAATTTGAATTTGAATTTGAATTTTATTAGGTAATTTTGAGTTTTATAGAATTTATATCAATTAATAAATAAATACTGAAAGTACTACACTTGATATTAGCCAAAAGGCCAACTCAAAAAAATTTAGTACTACACTTGATCTTAACCAAAAGGCCAAGAAGGTGTGATTATTATTTCTTTAGCTCTAAAGTTTTATAAGAGTCTTTCATGTAATCATTTTTACTTAAAACCAATGTGGGACTTTGTAATTTGAATTAAACTCTTTTTATATTTTTTTATTTGAATTAATTTTAATTTTATATTAGGTAATTTTGAGTTAGGTAATTTTGAGTTTTATAGAATATTACCAAGGGAAATTTTGGAAGAAAAACTTGGATTCTTTCCTATCAACAAAATTTATAATGCTACGATTACGACAAAAAAAAGAAAATGCATAAATTACAATTATAAAACCACGCTGGAACCGAGTAAAACAAAATAGTTTATTGTTTAATTGACATCCCAAAATAATACGGAGTATTAATTTTAAAAAATAGTTAATTGTGTGAAGAATTTTAGAAATCCAAGACTTTTAAAATAGAATAATTACAAGTTTAATAGTTGGAGAATTTTAAAAAATTGTCAAGAACTTTAATAGTAAAAGAATTCTAAAAATTGTTAAGAGTTTTAAAACAACTAAAATTTTTCAATAAAAAGATCCAAAACAGCCAAGAATATATATATTAAAAAAAAAAATGATAAACTCTAAATATGAATTTGATTATACGAATTAATTTTTTGATACAAATTAAGTGCAATCAATAATTAAAATCATGTCATAATTCTAAATTAATTTGATTAAGACATTATTTTCATTGTTATTTTTTATTTTTTGTACGTGCAAGTCATAATTTTAATCATAGGGTATGTGATAAAAACTCTTTCTCAAAATATGATATTCTCAAAATATAAATATGATGATACAAATTATTTTTCGGTAATGATCATACAAATTAAGTTTAATAATAATATGTGATAGAAACTATTTCTAAAAATAGCTCATGATAGAAACTCTTATGTGGTAGAAACTCTTTCTCAAAATAAGATAAACCTAAAATATAAATATAATGAAACAAATTATTTGTTGGTAATGATCATACAAATTAAGTGCAATCAATAATTAAAATCATAATTCCAAATTAATTAGATTAAGTCACTATTTTAATTGTTATACATTTTCTGCTTTAATTAAGTTAATATATTGAAATATTGAAATTCAATTATTGATATATTTTGATGTAGAATTATTGTTATGTATTTATTGAAATAAATTATATATTTCATTCTCTATATAGATTTACTTTTATTGAATTTCAGTATTTCTTACTTTATATTTTGTTAATTTGATTTTTTTTGAATTTTATTAGGCAATTTTGAGTTTTATAGAATTTATATTAATTAATAAATAAATACCGAAACTCTTTGCACAAAGGTCGAGAAAGTAGTACTACACTTGATCTCTTAGCCAAAAGACCAAGAAAGGTTAGCCAAAAGGCCGACCCAAAAAAATTTAGTACTACACTTTATCTCTTAGCCAAAAGGCCGAAAATGTGTAATTATTATTTCTTTAGCTCTATAGTTTTATAAAAGGCTTTCATGTAATCCTTTTTACTTAAAACCAATGTGGGACTTTGTAATTTGAATTAAACTCTTTTTATATTTTGTTAATTTAAATTAATTTTAATTTTATATTAGGTAATTTTTTAGAATAATTACAAGTTTAATAGTTGGAGAATTTTAAAAAATCGTCAAGATAATAGTAATAGAATTCTAAAAATTGTTAAGAGTTTTAAAACATCTAAAATTTTTCAATAAAAAGATCCAGAACAGCCAAGAATATTAAAAAAAAAAAAAATGATAAACTCTAAATATGAATTTGATTATACGAATTAATTTTTTGATACAAATTAAGTGCAATCAATAATTAAAATCATGTCATAATTCTAAATTAATTTGATTAAGACATTATTTTCATTTTTATTTTTATTTTTTATTTTTTGTACGTGCAAGTCATAATTTTAATAATAGGGTATGTGATAGAAACTCTTTCTCAAAATATGATATTCTCCAAAATATAAATATGATGATACAAATTATTTTTCGGTAATGATCATACAAATTAAGTTTAATAATAATATGTGATAGAAACTATTTCTAAAAATAGTGTATGATAGAAACTCTTATGTGGTAGAAACTCTTTCTCAAAATAAGATAAACCTGAAATATAAATATAATGAAACAAATTATTTGTTGGTAATGATCATACAAATTAAGTGCAATCAATAATTAAAATCATAATTCCAAATTAATTTGATTAAGTCACTATTTTAATTGTTATACATTTTCTGCTTTAATTAAGTTAATATATTAAAATATTGAAATTCAATTATTGATATATTTTGATGTAGAATTATTGTTATGTATTTATTGAAATAAATTATATATTTCATTCTCTATTTAGATTTGCTTTTATTGAATTTCAGTATTTCTTAGTTTAAATTTTGTTAATTTGAATTTGAATTTTATTAGCTAATTTTGAGTTTTATAGAATTTATATCAATTAATAAATAAATACTGAAACTCATTGCACAAAGGCTGAGAAAGTAGTACAACACTTGATCTTAGCCAAAAAATCAAAAAAAAAGTTAGCCAAAAGACTGATCCAAAAAAATTTAGTACTACACTTGATCTTAGCCAAAAGGCCAAGAAGGTGTGATTATTATTTCTTTAACTCCATAGTTTTATAAGGGACTTTCATGTAATCATTTTTATTTTAAACCAATGTGGGACTTTGTAATTTGAATTAAACTCTTTTTATATTTTGTCAATTTGAATTAATTTTAATTTTAATTTTAATTTTATATTAGGTAATTTTGAGTTTTATAGAATTTATATCAATTAATAAATAAATACTGAAATATTGAAACACTGAAACACTTTACACATTTAATAATAATATAGATATATAAATTGTGTCGGTTTGACAATGGATTATACCTAACGGGCAATGCAACCTGAATTCTAAACGACATTCATAGCAACTCCAACAGCCCAAAATTTAGAGATTCTGGGCCTTTTGTAGCTATGGACTACTCCAATAGAGTCTCCAAAAAATGGACCCCATGTTTTGGGTCGCGGAATGGGTAGCCCTTTTTGGCAACCCACTTAGCGATTGTAGGCTTCTGACGTGCGGGCCCACCCATTTTTTGGATTTTTAACTTTTGTAGCCCAGCAACACTGTAGCACAGAATACATTTAAGGGCATGTTTGGCAATAAAAAAAAAATTCCAAAAAATGATGGTCACAAGAGAAGAATGTCTCAGGCTTTTATAAACTTTACAAAAATATTCATTTATCCTTTCAAGCATACCGATCATATTTTAAATTGACCTGTTATATTCATTTATGGTTCACAATGGCAACATGCTTGAAAGTTTGCTATCATACCAATCCGTTGATAAAACCAAGATATGAATACTCAACCTCTCCTTTTTCAAGAGAGATCATGCTAATTCGTCATCAGATACGGATTTACAGTGAGGGCATACGTCCTATTAAAATTTTTTGTTATTGCATTTTATATCTCTAAATTTGTACCTTTTTTTATTTATGTCTATAAAATTTTGAAATTGTCCCTACTAAAAAAAAAAAAAAACCTATATAAATTTGCCCCTCGTATGAATTTCTAAATCCATTCCTGTCCGTCATATCTTGGTTTGCTGGTCGAAGGGCTAATATATGGGGATACGATTCACCAGTTGGCATGCATCCCGCTTGGATTTTTTATTGGTGGGTTTTCGCTATTTCATAAATTTAGGTCTTTTAAGTTTTCAGGGAAGTGGGTTCTTCATAAAATTTTTCTTTTTTTTGGAAGGTGTTTGCTTAATTTTCATACAAGGATATATGCATCATGTGTACATCCAAAGTTCTGACATTTAACTTCGTGTTATCTGTACGATTGCAAGTTTTGTGGGTCTGTTTTTAAAGCAGAAAATTTTAAAATGGCAAAAAATAAAAAGTAAAAAGAAAAAATAAATAAAATAGTGTGTTTGGTGGAGTATTTGTGGAACTGTTTTTGAAAAACTTCTTTCAGTCCGTTGTGGGGATTAAAATGTTCATTATTATCCAAATTTGTATCAAACAAATTTCATTTAGTTTTGATTTAAAACTCAATTATAGACTTGTCACATGCAGAGCAAGTCCATTTGGTAAAAATGATTGATGGAACAGTTGGTATCAGAGTCAGACTTAGTCCTTGATCTGGTGTCACACCAAGCGTCCGGGTGAGTCACCCCGGGTAGTACTGCATACTCACCCATTTATACCCATGTTACTTCCCATCCGGATCCGATATGGGACAAGTCTCCCCTTGTTACACTAGGCCACTACTCGCTATACAAGAGTTGTAAACCTATGTTTCAAAATGGAAGCAATCTTCTCCGGTCCCTCATCCTGCTCAGGATCATCCAATGTACTACTAAATGAACAATACAACACACTTCAAACAATCCAACATACTACATTACAGTTGTAAACTCATGCAATAACGATGTAGCACTCATGCAACGCAATTACATCAAATATGCAGCACCCATGCAACATATTACATCGTGCCGTAACGCTTCAACAATATTAAATTGATAATTCAACACCTTTACGTAATTGTTGCAATTGTTGCGTTATTGATTTAAAGTAGTTGTGTTATCAATTTAAACGAAGGGGACAACACTAGACCTAAAGGAGAATCCTGATCCGTTTCAAAATATAACTTACTAAATCCACTTTGACACAATTAAATTCCTATGTCCTGCTCTCTTAGGCCAACACATTTTCAGCTTGATATTCTATTGGCAAATTCAATCAGTCAATGCAATACTCTTTTATTTGAACATCACATATGAGTAGTAGCAGGGCATAAGGTTATAAGAAGATGAATAGATTTGATACCTTTATTAATACTATAATTATGTCCTGCTATCAAAGTCCCAACACAAATTTTCAGCTTGACATGCTGATTCAATCAGAACGGTGATAAATCAATATACATGGCCTTGACAACGAACGATGCAGAGCTTTTGCTGCGACCGCCGAGATCTATTAATGGGCACTACTTTCTTAAAGCCTAAAAAAGAATGTCAAGAAAGGAACTCATTACCTACGCAATCTGGATCCAACAATGCCGGAGCATCTGTATCTGTTGCCATCTAAACACTCCTTTGATAACGTGGAACGAAATCTTTGACTAGTGGTTTATGTCCGATGAGATCAGCACTCCCTTGATGTGCTCTACCGCTAACCATGACCTGTTGCACTGTGGATTCATTCGGATTGTTGCAGAATCCGAGTTTGACAACGAATGTGACTGTGCTACCCTTGTCAGCACCCTCACTCTCAATCCAGATGTGACCTTCCATGAGATTGACAAACCTGATTCCATCATTTTAAAATGGTGAGAGTCCAATGATAAACAACATACATGGAAATATCCAAATCAGCTAAACATCATTTTTTTTTTTTTTTGGTTACTTGAAAAAATGTTCATTAGCTAGTTACTTTCAGAACTGGAGAATACCAAACAATTAAGCTCTCTGTCTGCAATATCTAAAAGTTTAGAATTGCTACAATGGAAGTTGACCAGAGCTCTTTGTGAAATGAATTAAAGGAAAGTACCGTTTACAAATGGCGAGTCCCAGGCCCGCACCACTACCATTACTACGACTTGATCCACTTTGAGAATGAGCAAATTTGGTGAAGAGGTGTGGAATATCTTGTGAGACAATTCCACAGCCAGAATCCTTAACCTGAAAACGAGAGATATATCATCAAGGACACGCATGAGGAAAAAAAAGAGTTTTATATTGTTCCAAGCAATTACTATACCATAGATGAAGATATAAGCAATAACTGCTCGTGTTAAGAAATCTAAGGCAAGATGCACACATGATGTCTGACCTGATCGCACATCAGACTGTTGTTGCATGTTTGTCCTTTTATTAGTGTACCCTCACCCCTTGACGTTTTATTTATTTATTTATTTATTATATATATATATATATATAAGGTTGTCAAAATTTCGTTAGTTTGTGGTGGTACCAATGTCCAAGAGCAGAATCAGAACTTGAAACTACATCAAAGGTCAAAAAAAAACAATCATTAATTGAATAACAAACTCACCAATTAGGAATTCATCATCATGCATGGTTATCATAATCCATCTTAGGGCACCATGCATTCATGTTTTGATTCATGAAAAAAATGTTTGAATGCATAAAAATTTTTTTAGTGAAGATTTTCGGCTATGAAAATGAACGTGTCTTAAAAAACTCACCAGAAACAAAATACTTTGAATTTAGTTATGGGCTTTATATATTTAGAAACTAAACTTGATTAACTTTCCAGCGATATATTATATCCTAATTTCAAGTCCATTCGATACTTCAACGAAACATCCAAAGTCAGGCTACATGCAGTCAAGTTCTGCAGATTAGATCGATCAATCAAACTTCATCTCGTTCGATCGAAGGTTGCCCCAGAAAGGTTCATCTTGAGATCAACTAGGAGTTTGAAGATCCTGAACTTGACCCAGGTTGAACATCTTGAGAGTGGATTAGTTTGTCTGGAGTAGGTCCCGTGATCTTTTAACTCTCAATTAAGGATTTCTCTATGTGAAATCTTGTGTTCTTCCATGATTTATTTATTTTTGCTCTCTATATTTAACTGAATCATATTATTGCTTCAAACTATAATTAACACAATTTAAAAATCAGCTATTATGAGTTAAATTTTGACAAGATCTATTCACCCCCATCTAGATCTATGTTGGGCCTAATGGAGGGGTGGGGGTGGGGTTGCAAGCTCTTTTACCTCCCATTGTCCAACTTTGGACCTAGTAAAAATAAGCCTAGAGGTGCAATCTCCAATTCCCGAATAAACCACTCAAGTATAACATATAAATGGACAAAGTTAAAACCTCCATACCCGCAATACGGACTGCAAAAAATAATTAACGTTAGCCCAAAGAAAAAGGAAACAGAATACTAAACCTGCACTCGCAAGTAGAAGTGGCCATCACTTGATACAGGATATTCAGGAGGCTGCAAGTCTCTTAAAGACTCTTGTTTTGCAATAGAAGCCACAACTAAAATACTACCCTCCTTCGTGAACTTCACAGCATTGCCTGCAACGTTTAAGATAGCTTGCATAAGCCGTTTCTCATCGCCAACAGCATAGACAGGTACATCTGGGCCCAAAAACAAGGTCATGGATAATTTCTTTACTGCTGCAACAGGCTTTATCAAATTAATGACCTGCAGTTTAATAGATGAAATCCAACAACGTTATCAGGATGCCACAGTACTGCAGATTGGATTGTCTTAAATCTGTATTAGCAGATATAAAGTGCTTGGTTCCACCTTCTTTCCTTTTGCTAAGCAACAGATGATAAAGTATTTAGTTTGGGCTAGTTACCTCTCTGAACACCCCATGAAGATTGAACATTCTGCTATCTAATTCTAGGCTACCATCTTCAAGTCTAGAAAGATCAAGAACATCGTTAATGAGTGTTGCCAGAAGATTGCTACTCTTAAGCACCGTCTCTATCATAACCCTCTGTTCTGGAGTCAACTCAGTTTCTAAAAGAAGCGAAGACAATGCTATAATTGCATGCATAGGCGTCCTCATTTCATGGTTCATGACAGCTAGAAAATCGTTACGAGCACGGATAGCCATCTCTGCCTCTTGCCGAGCTCTATCTAAAGCAACATTCTGCTCCATTAGCTGATCACGGGCATGCATAGACTCTTCCAGAATCGCAGCATGAGAGAGAGCAACAGCAACCTGTGCAAAAGAAAATAGTAGAAAAATATGAGAAAACATGCTCTGATGACATTTTATAAGTCATGAATTAAGCCATGGAAATTTGAAAACCATTAGCGTCAGAGAAATGAACATACATGAGTAATGACTAATATACTGAAACTAAATGAGCAATATTTGGAAAACTAGGAATGTCAAATATAATTATAAGGAAGTACAAGAAAACCTACAATGTACATTATCTTCCTATCTGTGGTTCAGTAACTCACACATAATAGGGAGCAAAAAATGTGTAGGAGTTCTGAAAAGAAACAATTTTCGTATTTTGACCATAATTTACTCCTAATCTGTGCAATGCATGCATGATAAACATGCTAGTTGGACTTAACATTCAATCAACTGGAGATGCATTATGAAGAATTGCTCATGTTCTAAGCCTCAGTCAAGTCACTGAAACAGAAACTGCAGGACCATAGCAAACAACTAATGTATCATCTTATTATAGTATCATGCATGCATTTGATATCCAACGGGAACTGAACATATTCAATGCCTTGTCAGTGGTACTAGGATATCGAACACGCAAGGGAGTTTTTCCCCAAATGACAAAAAGAACAAAAGACACGTAGAGGAAGGGGATTCACTTCAAATTGAACATGAAAAAGAACAAGTTTTGGGGATGGCAAATATCCCACTTACCTTGATATAGTAACTATAAATTTGAAAATTATACATCAATCACAATAAATGGGATCGCAAGTTTTCGGTCAAAGTGATGTACATTATGAACCAGTTAGAAAAAGAAAAGAGAGGGAATGAGAAGAAACGAGATGAAAGGTAATGTGAGAAATTTAATAAAATATACCAAGCAAAAATGTCAAACATAAAAAAAGGAAATATTCTAAAATTTGTCACTAAAATAAGTCAATAAAAATGGAACACATCAGCACATATAATACTGACCGATAGGATAATTTAGCAAGTTATTTACATGAGAGAGATTAAAAATCCCTTTCAAAAGAAACAAAAAGGTAGTGACTGTTACCAGAAAACTACTTATTGTACCGACAATCCCGGTAAAGAAGGAAAACTGGTCTTGTCTACAAATGTAGTCATAGATGAGCACTTCAATAATCCTGCCATTCCATACACAAGAACAAATATTTCTTTATTGATTCATTAACTCAACTACATAATATTGTTTTGAATGGTTCACTTAATGTTTTCTCCTTAAAGAATTTGAAAGTGGCTTGCAATTGAAAAACTAAGAATTTTCACTCAAGAGGATTGTTTATTTCTCGATTCATTAGTTGCTTTAATGTCGTTAACCAAATTTTCCACGTAATATTCTCAAAACTAAGTCACAAATTGGATAATAACTTGGAGTTAACAGGAAATGTTCACTCACAGTACAAATTTATGGGGCATGAGAGAAACAGTTAACAAAACTGAAGACTTCTACAGAACAATAGTGCCACCACAAAATGCGCAAAGAAAGATTAATGCACAAATGACCATTGTAGATTATGATGACCTCATCTACTTTTAAGCAATTTAAGAGAAAATAAATAGTTCCCTCATCTTAGTCGCATAAAAAAAGTAAACTGAAAAACTAGCTATACTATTGATTACCGATTGAGTGAATTTGTACTCTGTTGCATAGGGAGGGAAAGATGAACAGAAAATGAGTGGAAAATTGAATCCAATTAAGAACAGATCCTGGCAATGGATAGATATAACTATTTCCATAGTAAGGAAAACATGGGTGAACACAATGATCCCAGTTATAACAATATATACTAGATGACGGCATGATTTATTTTCCAAAAACTCAATCAAAGTAGGGGGGCATTATAATGCCTAATAGTTTGTTTAAGAGACAGTTAAACAAGTATGAGGTAACAACAAGAAGGCAGTGTTTTCTTAGTATTAGTTTAAAAGAAGTAAAAGAAGCCACTTCAAACAAATATGAAGTCAGTCAAAGTGAGTAGTAGGTAACACGAACCTGGTCAGCAACAACTTCCACAAGTTCTAACTCATGCTCACGCCATTTTCGTACACCATCCATAGGGAGAATCAGAACCATCACAGCATAGCTTTTTGCAGAGAGGTCAGGCCAGTCATTGATTAAGAAATTTGAAAGATGTAAAAGTGGTACCCGAACAGCAACAACTTCAGGTGGAACATATCTTCCCGCAGGAGGTCTGATCCTTGCCAGTGGACACGTATGTGGAATTGGTATTGCTTCAGCATTATTGAAAACTTCGTTGACTATGGGAAGATTAATCGGCACTGTAGATCCAACAAGCATCAGATTGTTTAGAGTATGAGAAAGTTTCAGATTCAAACCTCTTTGTGATGGCATCCACAGTGCACATTCCTCTAGATCTAAAGTCCTACCCAGCTCTACAAGAGTAGTTTTTAATATAGTATGTCTGTCAAGTGTACTTCTAATTTCATGAGTAAGCATTCTGACATGTCTTCCAGTTTCTTCTTGCTTAATAATAAGGCCCATCTCCCTGTCAAGCTCCTCGGCCTTATTCTTCAAAAATAGTTCCCGTGTTTTCACACTTAACAGATCAGGAATAATATGAACAAGCATTAGAGCTGTTGCACATGATACAACAGCAGTGGACATTTTTGCTACAGTCATCACCACAGCAACAGTTTTAGAGTGCATAGAGAATGTCCACAAGTTGATTAAGTGAGTTGCTCCACAGAGAACAATAAAAGCACCAAACTGCATTAGCACCCATCTGTATGGGAAGAATGCTGATTTTTGAACAAAATAAATAAGCTCCAGGGGAATGGAGAAATATGCAAAGGCAATAAGGAAGTCTGATATATACTGATATTTCACCAGAAGTTCATCTGCAGGCCATTGTGTCTCAACAATGCAGTCGCAAGACTCCATCTTTGTCAACTACACCAATACGCCTGAAAAACACAATATTGGTTATAAAATTATAAATACAAACTGTTCAAAATGATTCTCCATGTTAGGCAAATAAAAACTTCGGGAATAGAAAGCCAGGGTCCACTGCTGGTCTGGATTACCCTATGATGACTATGCCTGGCATAGAAAGCATTATTGTCTCTCTTGCTTAGAGAGACAACTTTCCTAGTCAAAAGAGCACTATCAAAAGAGGTGCTTTATGTAGAGAGGAACAGATGATATCAGAAAAATCATGTGGAACAAAGAATCTAGTGGATGTCAGCAAGGCTAGTCACCAAGAAATTGCACGTATGTAAACCATTATTTAGACCAATATCTTGCAGCCACATGATGAAAGCATTGCTCCTTAAGATAGAAATGAAAACATTTTATAACTAGTTTGTGCAGATTATACTGTTGGACCAATTTAGAAGTTGATATAAGGTTGTATGATTATAATATGTTAGGAAGCAAAGCCTTCCGACCTCTATGTGAAATATCTGGAGACCTTTTAAAAATAATTGCAAAAATAAAAAATAAAATAAAATAAAAAAGCTAAAAAAAATAGAAGAGTAACAAACTAACAACAATTTGGAAGAACAAATATAACACTTAAACAACCAGAAATATCAACTCGTGTGAGAAACCCATTCTAAAAAGGAGGCTTCATGGCTCTCCACGCATAAATCCACCAAAATCAGTAATGAGATGTGAAAAAGAAGTCTTCTCAAATATGGCCTGAAATATGACAACACAGTGACACACACAAGAGTACCTTTTTTTCCCGTTCACAAAATGAGTGAAAAACACCTTCTAAACTTGTGGTTGGAAAACCAATCTTGTAACGTAAAGAAAGAAACCAAGTAAACCCTAGAAACACAATACTGACATATCGTCTATGTTACGTGGACACTTCAAAAGCAGGTGAAGTACTTGTGTCGGACACAAAAGGCTCAGACATGGGTATGAAATTGTGTCCAACCCTTTTAGTTAGACATACACCAAAAAGCATATCCAATTATTTAATTTCATTATTCTTGTTTCAAAACAAGTAAGATTCCTATATTAAACACTATGTTACATGGCACTATTTTACTATTCAAAATAAAATAAAATAGTAAATAATCCATCTGGGAATTTATCATGCTTGACGCTTGAATACATACCCGCACACAACACATAAATCTGAGTCCATGTAACATGAATTATTGCAAAATATCCCATGCGGTCGTGCCTTTGTTTCCCCCATAAGTCTGACAAACAATGCTCAAGATCAGCACTTCCTATGATTTGGTATAGACTTGCTATGGAGGGAGCTAAAGCAACTCTTTTGCTTTAAGAACATGCCATCAAACTTTGTACTCACGTTCTAAAACAGTTTCAACTTTAGAATGGACAGAAGAAGATTTTCCTACAAACAACATGTTTTCCAAGTAATCGGCAACATCTCTCAACAACATAAATGTCAGACAACATACAACTCTTTGCCCATGGTGAATGCAGCCACCGATGAACTGTGTCATCTTCATGATAAATTTGATAAGCAAATCAGGTATAACAAGTTTCTAAAAGTGGTGAGTTCCACAAACATCTATGTGGTCAATGTTTACCTATTAGCCGTATGCTTGTAATTTAGATCGATAAATTTATGGGCAAGAAATCAGCAATGGATCCTTCATGTCAATATTCCTAAAATTAGCAAGAAAATTAGTACTTTGCCAACCCTCCCTGACAAATTAAGACAATATTTATGCAACTATTGAATTTACAATCTAACTGTTGGTTGGTCTACACTACTTGTTCAAACTACTGAAATGGAAGTTGAGTGACCCCCCTATCCACTACAAAGTTTTAGAGAGAGAGAGTTATACCACATAGTTTTAATCTATTTTTCGCATTACACGATCACACATGATACCAGCACACATTTTATAGTCAGTATAAAGAAATATTGCTACAATAAAAAGTCAAAAGCATCAAAGCAGTATATACTGAATTTTGTATTCATTTTCCATTTAATGGCTGTGTTCCTTTCTTATATATAAATCAGCAATCTTATGCACATTTTTGAACAACCAATTTTTTTTTTTTTTCTTTTTTTCCTTTTTTCCTGTGCAGATATTAAGGCTCCATTCAGAACTCTAGAACCAGTAGTGATTGAAAAGAGGCAATAAGGAAATATATTTTCCTTGTTTGGTTTTGTTGGAAAACTATGGGGAAACACTAATTAGATAAAAAGAATGATGTAGGACCAGAGAGAAAGTAGGGTATGAGAAAAAAGAAAAAAAAAAAAAAAAGATGTGATACCAACTTTTGTAATTTTGAGGAATCCCAATTTTCCTTATAATCCATCAAGGAAGCATGGAGAGTTCTATAAGCAAAGGAAATCAATATTTTTAAATAAATAAATAATTATATATATATATATATATATGGATTCTTCCTTTATTTTTCCATTTGTCTTTCATTTTTGCTCTCCCCTACTGCCCCTGAGAACCAAGCACGGCCTAAAGGAACTCATGTTACCAATTTTTCAGCACATAACTAATAGAATCATCCTACTCTTAACAATTTTATGCTATTGAACTAAAGACATGAAAACAACAATAAGTAAATAACATTTCATTGCTAAAATTGGATTAATCAACCATATTAACATGCTTCTTAGCTGTAATTTACAATGATCAACCGCAGAGAGGTGAATAACAAGTCATTAAACTGAATCGATGCTAACAGATCAGGTTAGTCAAATATTTTCCTATAACAAATTTGAATAAAATTATAAAAAAATAAATAAAAATAAAGAAAAAGACATTTTCTACAATCATAGTTTATTTCTTTTTTGTTTCCGTGGAACTAAAACAATGGAACACTTAAAAGGACTCAATTTTCTATTACTTTCTCTCCAGAAGTTTTCTCAGCAACCAAACAGAGCTTCAGCTATTGGTTCCTTGAAGACCAGATCATTTCATTGAACAATTAAACAGAAAAATAAGTAACTATTAAAAGGAATTACAGTGGGATAGAATCATCACCTTAATGAAGAAGGATTATCTCTTTTGTTTGCATTTGTTGTTTCAGTGCCAGTTCTTTTGACTCTCAAACTTTTTTCTGAGAGAGAGAGAGAGAGAGTAAAGTGCAGGGCGTCACGGGCAAGAAGGGGGACTCGAGCTGTTGCAAAAGGACTGCTGCTTCGGATCCACTTTACTCCTAAACCTCACTCGCACGTGTGTGTATATTTTATGCATATGAAAATTGAAAAAGATATGATCAGCTATATATATGCATGAAAATGATAAATGCATTCCCTTTTTATTAGTCCCATGTCCAAAAACAAATGTTCATTTTTGAGAATTTAATTTTTTAACAGGGTAGATTTTTTTAAAAAAAATTATTATAGTGGTAAGGAATTAATTTTTAACTGTTCCTAAAAATTAGAATCGGAATCGGAACTATTGGGACATAGAATCGGAACCGAACTGAACCAGTTTTTATTTTTTATTATTATTATTTTTTTTTAATAGCAATACCTTTGGAGGCAACAGGCATTAATATATATATATATATATATTAGTAAATATTGGCATATATATATTTGGTAAATATAGGTTTATATATTAGTAATTGTATAATTAAAAAATAATATATATAATTATTGGTACCGTTCCGATTTCTGTTCCAAGAACTGGAATCAAAACTTGACAATTCCAAACATTTGGAACCGTAATCGATTCTTTATGCATTCCTAATAGTTCCATCGGTTCTTTATGCATCCCTACTTCAAGGTAAGGAAGGTAAATTAGAAAATTAATATATATATATATATATATATATATATATATATATGAAGATGCAAGAAATTCCTTCTCCACTTTCTCTCTCTAGAATTCTTACACCTCAACCCCAAAAAGATCCCCCTCCATTTCATTCCATCTCCTATTTATAGATATTTACAAGATATTTACAAGATATTTACTAATTGCTAGATCTGGGCCTATTCCTTCATAAGCCTTGGTCACCTTTGATGGGCTTACTCTCGTTCGGCCCATATGGCAGTGTCCTTCTATGGGCTGGCCCAGTTGTACGGACTGAATGCTATGTTTGCGAATCGGATCTGGCCCATGTCATCCGGGGCCTCCTCAACTGCCCCCATAATTGCCCCTTATTTAATAAGGGGTAATTATTGATGGCGTCTCATCATGATGTTGACGGCTCGAGATAACCACGTGGGGGAGCGGACGGTCAGATCCAGAATCAATGTTCCGGGGCTCGAGGGATTTCTCGCCTTCCCGACGCTTCGGCCCTCGGGCCCCCTCGCCTTTATAATGCTCTAGAATTCCACTTCACTTCCCTTTACCGTCTCCATCATCAGCCAAGTCTCTCTCTTTTCTAGTACAGTGCTAAGCTTTCTCTGGTGAAATCCTTCAAGAGTCATTCTTCCAGCGATCTTGCAGTCCTCCGAGGTTAGTTTCGTTCTTTTTACTTTCGGCAGGCTTCCATTTACCCTCTTGTAGATTCTTCTAGCACTTCCACCATGGTCGTAGATCTGGATGTTCTTCGTATGAGACTTAGACTTCCTGACAACATCGAAGTTAGGGTTTGCCCCCAAGACGTTAACATTACGACCGGCGCCGGCCTCCTGCCCGGCGAAGTCTTATTCACGAACCTTCAATTGAATGTTGTTAGGTTCCCTCTGCACCCTTTCTTTAGTTATGTCTTCAATAGATTGGGGATATCCCCTCTGCAGGTCAACCCCAACTTCTTTAGAATCATATCTGTTATGCTCTTGTTGATGCGTGACAGAAATCTGGACCTTGACCTTATAGACCTCCTTCTGTGCTATAAGGTGAGTAAGATCCGTACTAACGAGCCCTTCTACCACCTCTACCCGTTCGAGAAGATGTCCATATGTACTGACACAATAAAATCTGAAAAGGGTTGGAGGGATAGCATAGTGGGCATTAGTGGGGCTTGGTCTTCGCCAGCTGCAGAGGATTACCCAATCCCGAGCGCCTTTGGTGTCTGCTCTGTCTCCTCCTATAAAAAATTCAAATCCCATAAACATGACTGCCCCTGTGAAACATGCGTTCCTCGTTTTTGCACTTTCTTATGCCGCTCCTTGGGAATACCTTGTGATGACTTGAGCTATAGTGTTTGCAGGGATAGGAGTAACTACTTGAAGAGATACGTTCTGAACGATATTCCTTCCTGCTCAGATCTCCTCACTTCAGACAACCTCTTAGCGCTCTCATCACTCGGCTACAACATTAGCAGACTTCAGATTCCCTCTTTTGGCAGGAGGAAAAATACTCCCCCAGCCACTCCTGCTGCTGGGGCGACCTCCTCTCCAGCGTCAGCTTCTTCTTCAGCCACCATATCTGACACTGTCCCGAGCGCAGTGGCTACTAACCCTGTTGCCAGCGCCCCTGCTGCCAACCAGAACGCGTCCTCCCCAGCTACCATAGCTCCTGCTGCTGCGGGGGGCGGTCGGGACAAAGAACGAGGCAAAAGGCCTCATCCTGACAGTGAAATCGATCCTGAGGAGGAGCCTCTCATTAGAAGGACCCGGGTCTCTGGGCCGGGTGCTCTCTTGCACCGAGCGATCAGAGCTCCTTCTCCCTCTGGGCCTCCTGCAGCTGGTGGCTCTGCTTCTGCTTCAGGCCCCCCTTCTATCCCCAGCTTACCGCCATGGGCCCCTCGGTACACCCGAACGGATGGGACGTTCGTGAAACCGAATGAGACCATGCTGAAGGATGGCCAGACCGCTATGGCCTATTACAGGAGCATGTGGACTCCAAAGGACCTTGAGGCGGCAAAGGGCCTTTCCCAGAAGGATGTGTTCAGCCGCTTTCCCCAATCTGCTATGGAGGTGACTTTTATTTTCTAACTCTTGAATTCTCTTATATTACTTGGTCTTGCCTTCGCCCGTTCTGACTATTGGTTTAACCGTTTTTATTGTGCACCTATGCAGACATTGTTCGGGATGATGGCCATGCAGAAGCAGGTGGAGATGGGGAACGCCAGGGCCCGAAAGTATTCTGACAGCCTGGAGGTGGCTAATAAAGAAAACGACCTCCTTGCCATGAAGAATACCGAGGTGCTGGTTCGGCTTGACAAAGCCGAGCAAGAGAGAGATGTCCTGAAGAAGGAGAATGATTCCCTTCAGGATGAGAAGGACGCCCTCCAGCTTGAGAAGAGCGTCTGGCAGACAGAGCGGGAATCAATTAGAGAAGAGAAGGCAGAACTCCAGCGCCTTCTAGCTGATGAACAGTCTGCTCGGATGGCTTTTGAAAAAAGAGCTCTGGACGAGCGTACCGCTCTGATCGACGCGATCAGCAGAGTGGGTGGTGGGATGCTGGCCCTTCACGCTCGGTTCTCAAGGGTCGGTGCTCTTCGGTATGCTCAAGGATTCCGGGAAGGTTTCGCCGACCGGGTTCCGGATGAGGGACAGACCAGCTCCACTCCGGATGAGGTAGACAAGGATCTGGGGATCGAACCTCTGGGGGTCTATGTCGACCCAGAACCCACCGAAGCGGAACGTATATTTGATGAGTGCCAGGACATCGCATCCTCAAGGATCATCACAGCTCCTCCTACCGCTCTGCCACTGACCGCTCCTCAATCGTCAACCGTGGTTCCTTCCATAGCCACTGCTGACGCTGAACCCCAGCCGAACGATTCAGTCATTCACCTTGATTCCCCACCTCATAAAGGTGAGGCGGCTGATGGGGCCGAGGAGGCGAGTCGGCACGACCAGGATGCTGTTGGTACTGAGGCGTCTAGCTAGGGCTCCTTCGAATTCTTCCATTTTATATCTTCTTGTAATGATGGACATCTCTCTTTTGTAAACTCAATGTTCAATATTAATAAAACGACAGAACTCTTTTTCCCTATGTGTTGTGTTCTATTCAACTCATCTTCAGTACATACATATCTTTTCTCTCTTTTTCTTTTTATATTAGCTTTGCCGTGTGTTTGTTTATGGCATGTGCCACTTGGCTTTAAGTTTCTAGCAAGTGCCTGGCGCTCGGCTAGGATGCCACTTGCCACTTGGCTTTAAGTTTTTAGCAAGTGTCTGGCGTTCGGCTTATAGTGCCAGCTGCCACTTATCTTGCTTAAGTGCCTGGCACTCGGCTAGAATGCCACTTGCCACTTGGCTTTAAGTTTTTAGCAAGTGTCTGGCGTTCGGCTTATAGTGCCAGCTGCCACTTATCTTGCTTAAGTGCCTGGCGCTCGGCTAGAATGCCACTTGCCACTTGGCTTTAAGTTTTTAGCAAGTGTCTGGCGTTCGGCTTATAGTGCCAGCTGCCACTTATCTTGCTTAAGTGCCTGGCGCTCGGCTAGAATGCCACTTGCCACTTGGCTTTAAGTTTTTAGCAAGTGTCTGGCGTTCGGCTTATAGTGCCAGCTGCCACTTATCTTGCTTAAATGCCTGGCGCTCGGCTAGAATGCCACTTGCCACTTGGCTTTAAGTTTTTAGCAAGTGTCTGGCGTTCGGCTTATAGTGCCAGCTGCCACTTATCTTGCTTAAGTGCCTGGCGCTCGGCTAGAATGCCACTTGCCACTTGGCTTTAAGTTTTTAGCAAGTGTCTGGCGTTCGGCTTATAGTGCCAGCTGCCACTTATCTTGCTTAAGTGCCTGGCGCTCGGCTAGAATGCCACTTGCCACTTGGCTTTGAATTTTTATAGTAGACCATTGGAAAAGAAAATTCTTTTTTGTAAATTTCAGTAACTTGCTCATTCATACGTATTTGATTGACAACAAACAACATCCAATTAAAGCCGGAACTTAGCTTTTATTGGTAGTACCTCTTCAGAGACGTGGCGTTCCAGGGCTTGCTGACCAACCTTCCCACCATGGTTTCCAACGTATATGCCCCCTTGCCAATGACTTCTGCAATTCTGTATGGGCCTTCCCAGGGTGGCATCATTTTTTTGACCATCCCCACCTTTCTTTTCAGAACCAGATCGCCAGGGGCAAAATCCCTGTGTTTTACTCTCTTGTTGTGACTATTCGCCAGCACTTGCTGATACGATGCTAGCCTTATAGCCGCTGCGTCCCTCCTTTCGTCTATCATGTCAAGGTTCAATCTTAACATCTTGTCGTTCTGATCTCGACTCCATGCTAAGCTCCTGATAGTGGGGACTAAATGCTCAACCGGTATAACTGCCTCGGTACCATACGCCATTGCGAA